ACACAGGAATAAACCCAAGCTGCTAATCCTGTTACAACATACATGAATATGAAAATAATGATGCTGAGTGAAAGGATTCAAGGACAAAGGTTACCATATGATTTTGATGAATCTGAAATTCTAGGACATGCAAACCAATCTATAGTGATCAGGAAACAGGTTTGTGCTTACATGGAGACCACAAAGGACGGTGGCAGAGAGGGAAGAAAGTAAATATAAAGGTACATGACAAATGTGTGGAGTGATAGATATGTTCACTATTGTGACTGAAGTCTTATGACTTTATTTTTATTTTTAATTTTTTAATATATATTTTAATTGAATTTTTGTGCATTTCATACAGTATATCTTAATCATATTTAGAGCCCCTCCCCTATCTGCACCCTCCCATAACCTGCCCACTGGATTTCATGCATTCTGTCATATATGTTAAGGTCTATGGAGTCAAGTTAGTGTCCCCAGATGTCCTTTGGTATGAATTCATCCACTGGAGCCTGTTCAGCCTGTCTAGCATCACTCCCTTAAAGAAGACCAACTCTCCCTCGCCCAGCAGTGACCAACTGCCAATAGTTCCTCTGCTAAGGTTGGGGCCTTCTGCCCATTTGCTCTGTTCTATGCTGGGTTTTTGTCAGATTGAGTTTGTATGGGTCATGGGATATTGTCACCATTGCTCTAAGTTCATATGAGCAAGTTCCCAGAATCCAGGAAGACTGTTTCCTTGTGGTCACGTGTCACCCCTGGCTCTTACAATCTTTTCACTCCCCCTCCTCCACGATGGTCTCTGAGCCCAGGATGGGTGAGGTTTAATATAGGAGTCCTACCCAGGGACACACACTCTGCAGTCTCTTATTCTCCACACTTTGGCTTGTCTGTGTTCATTGCCCTCTGTTGCATAAGGAAGCTTTGCTGGTGAGAGTTGAGAGATGGATTAATATTCTCTCTATCCCCTGTTCTACTATGTTCCATCAGCCTTAGGTATAGAGGTTCCATTGTAGATATGCCACTTAGGGCTAGGCATCTACAGACACTTATTCTGTGTGTGACCAGTTGTAGAACTCTGTAATAGTCGCCATCTGCTGCAAAAAAGAAACTTCTTTGATGAGTGGCAAATGGTAGACTTGTCTGTAAATACAAGGACCCATCTTTAGCATACAGTAAGAAATTGCATTTGTTGGGTGCTGAGAGATGGCTCAGCGATTAAGAACACTGACTGTTCTTGCAGAAGACCCAGGTTCGAATCCCAGCACCCACATAGCAGCTAAGAACTGTCCATAACTCCAGTTCCAGGGAATCTGACAGCCTCTTCTGTCCTCCACGGGAATTGCACGACATGGGTGCACTTACCTATATGCAGGCTATACACGCACACACATTAAAAAAAAAAAAGAAATTGCATTTGTCTAGGGATGTGACAGACATAGGGTTTCTATATATTCTATGCCCTTTCCAGCCACATGTATTTGACTATGCCAAACTGTATACTTTAAATGTGTGAAAGATATTTTATTACATTTTACTTACATACAGTTCTAGTAAGACATTTATTATAATAACATATAAAGGAATTGTGGTGAATTGTCAAAAATATTAGCATATCAAACACATGAAAAAATGATGAAGTAATAAGCTTTACTTAGCAGAAAGAGTATCCCAGGAATGTTTCTTTAACATTAGAAAACTAGGTATGTGGTTCAACATATTAAGGAACTCAAAATCACCACATGATGTTAGTAAATGAAAAATAAAATTTTCAATAAATTAAACATGCAGCAAACCAGCAAAATACAGGAATGTGCTCATCTAATCATTGTAATAAATCATTAATTTTAATAAATGTGTCATACCTGATGTAGAAATAGTAAATTTCCCCTTTAAAATAACAAATTCATAAAGGTGGTCCCCATCACTGTTTCCTGCATCTACTCACATGAACAGTGACCCAAGCCAGTGGAATAGGATAAGAAAATTAAATGATTGGCCATTTGAAAGGCCACCAACAGCTTCGGCAGAGATAAGAGGTCACAGATTGAACACTACTGAAACTGTGTATTAGTTACTTTTCTGTTCCTGTGATAAAACACCATGACCAAGGGAACTTATAAAGGGAAGAGTTTATTTGAGCTTACGTTTCCAAGGGAATTAGAGTCCCTCATGGTGAGGAGGCATGGTGGCAGGAGGTGACTGGAGCAGGAGCAGAAGGCAGAGTCTCACATCTTCAAGCAGGCACAGAAAATAGAGAGCGACTGGAGATCTGGCAAAGCTTAAGAATTCTCTAAGCCCACCCCCAGCAACAAGCTTCCTCCAGCATGGCCACATCTTCTAAAACCTCCCAAACATCACCACCAACTGGGAACAAAATGTCTGAGTACTTGGAGCCTATTGAGGATATTCTCATTCAAATCACCACAAGCTGTGAGGAGGCATTCTTAAAATGTACTATTAAGTGGGAAATGGGTAGGCATCCAGGTGTAGAAGGAGCTGCGATAAATACTTCTAGTTAATTTCCCTGCCTCTAAGTAAAATAATAATAGTAATAAATAGCTAATATACATTAAAAAGTCTGCTATACCAACAATCTCACACTTAGTATTTTTAAATGAATTGCATTTTGTTAACTATAATGTCATCTATGTATAGCTAAAAAACAGTACCTTATGTATAAGACATAGTATAGTCTACCCTGTGTATCCAGGATGCCACATTATAGATTCAACCAATCATAGGTGGAAAATAGAAGAGAAAGTCAGTTTTCCTTAAGGATGTGGCCACCAGTAGGGTGCCTGTGCTTTAGCGGATGGTGCTACACCCATGCACATAAGGACAACACTAATTAGATTTAGTGGGTTATAAAAAAA